ACCCATTTTCCTTCAGATATCTTGAGGTCAGAGGTCCATGGATTCCTTTTAAAAATAGGCATGTCAGACAGCTTACATATATGCCAGCATGCTGTGTGTCATACGCTACCAGTACCTTCACTCTAGCTTTATAACGGAGCCCGTTGCAGCCTTCCTCCAGACAGTGTGGTTTGATAGAGGTAACATGAAAACGACAAGACGCCGCTGGAAGTCGCAGAGTATGTCAGTAAGAATCGGTATATGTCGAACCCTCTGACAGCCAGCTTCCCTCCTCACAGCCGGGGGGTGGGTACATGTTGGAAACCCCCTGCCTCACTAAGTGTTACTTACAAAAGGAAAGAAAAAGACAAAAGAATAGACACAAAGAAAATATAATTGCTCAGGCAATTTCTTTCCTTTTGTAATTATCCATGTACCGAGAATGAGTCCTTGCTGCAGCGATCGAGGGTTCGACTCCAACTTCTGTCCCTCGCTGTTTCTAATATTTCTGAACCTGGGTCATCACTTGTACTTGTTGCTTATAGACTCCCTTATAGATGTCATACCAGATGCTAGATGCAGGAAACTCATGCACATTTTTTGCAATAATTTGATGGCCAGGTTAATTTATAGCCTATTTTAAGTTATTAACTACATTTTATGCAACTTTTTAGTGGATAAAACGTCCAGCTCCACTGGGTATATGACAGTGGACATAACTCTTATAAGTGCCATGAGCCAATAGAACCACAGCAGCATCTCACTCTCCTTCAGGATGGAATGACAACTTCTTTCCACAAGATATCCCATAATCAAAAAGGTATACGTCATTAAAAAATTGAGCACCTAATTTTTAGCATCGCTGTGTCACCGCCAGTATGTTAATATTGAACATCGGAGCTTGAAGATGGATTTTAGAAGTCGTGTAAAAGCGAGACGATAAAGCAGCCACTGTGACCACAGCTGATAATTATGGGATGATGCTGAATGCTAAAACATAGCGTTACAGTAGCACAAGAAAGAACGAGTCATCAAATCAGCGGAGTGACTCAGTGTTTGTCGTGACATTACAGACAACCACGTCTCATATTTCAAGTTGCATTTGAGGTTATTTTTAGTTATTATTTTTTTTGCAAAGCTGTCTTTCCCATTGTCGTGATGAAATGGGGGCTCGTCCGGGGAAAAAAGAACTTAACTCACTCCATAGCTTCTTTTTAAAGCCTGGATCCACTAACAAAGGGTCAGAATTCCACTTTTAAATCAGGTATTTATGTGTTATTAACTGTACTGACTATGTAGATAGTTGTAATGTCTTAGATTTTATATTATTAAAGTATTCAAGAAATTATACTAACTGGAAAAAATGATTTTTTAAATAATTTCTCTTTAATATAAAGGTTAATTGATGAATTAATTAATCAATTCAATTGCGTTGTCTTAGGTTGATTTGTTGCCATAGTTACTCCATACACTGGAACTATTGGACTGCAGTTACTAAGGGTTAGTTTGTCGGCATTAGTCTTCGTTTATGTGCCAATTAATGTCATTTTTAATTAAATGTTGAATTCTTCATAACAATCAGCCTGAACCAGCTCTCATTAAAAGAAACAACAGCGAGATGATTAAGACTGTTTCTTTAATGTGAATTATTTCTGTTTTATTTTGCAACCTGCTCGTTAAACTGGTAAATGTTTATTCTTATTTTGTCGTTTAACCTTTTTATTGTGTCATTCCATGTTGAGCTGTTCTGAATCTTCCTTTGTCATTTAATAAAATTCCTGCATATTTAACACACTGATGTTCTGATCTCAATCTGTTCATAAACGGCTGATGAGAGAATAGAAATATTACAGCCTTACGTGATTTAATCTAATCTATAATGTCAATAAGCGACAAAACCCGGAGCTGCTCCATTAATAATTAATTCCAAACAAAATGTATGTGCTTAGATTTAATGGGATTTATTCTAACCATAAACTCTGATCAGAATCCTTTCCGGGTTCTGCTGCAGTACATTCCCGTAATCCTGTGATTGGTATTCATGTTATTATAAATCTATGGATCAGAGGAAAGGTACTTTACTGGTTCCCAGACAATCACGGGAATGGACGGAAGCTGAAAACACTGAGTTATAATATTAAAGTTTACATTATCTTTATGATAGAAACCACAGTTCCAAAGAATTGTGATTTATAATGTGTTTAATTATTTAGCAGGATTTACACAGACTGTTTGAATGTTTAATGCTTGTGGGTTTAAGTCTCTGCTTGCTTATTGTGTGTACAACTGTGGTACAAAAAGCTTTAATGTTCTTGTTCTTGTAACAGCCTAGAAAGCAATTAATGAGAAAACACTCCCCTTTAATAACCACTTTGATGCTTTTCAGAATAAAAGCACTTGGCTAAAAAACAGAAAAAGCCTTCATTTGCACAATTTGTGTCACAAAAACAATAATGTTTTAATTTTAGTCAACAGAGAATACATCATGTAATTACATTTTTTATTACCTTTAATAGAACAAAAAGGCGATTTCACCCGTTAATTGTTTGTTTAATAAGTTCAACTTTAATTTACTGTATTACTGAAGGATATTAACATTCTATGGGTAATAGGGTTGTAAATTGTAAACACTTTCCTTAATCAATCATTGGTACACTGTAAAACCTGATAAGTTAGTTCAACTCAAACTTTATGAAGAAACTGGAACCATTTAAGTTTATTAACTCAAACAATGTAAGCATGAAAGATATTTGATTTAAATAAAAGTAAAGTATTAAATAAAGTATTGTTGAGGTAACTTGGGTAAATTAAGTTAATTGAACTGAGCTCTGACGGGATTAAAGGATGTCGTAGCAATAATGATATTAATGATATATACTCTAAACCTGTTACTGGATGTGTTTTACTCATCATATTTATCTTTAATGAGATCATCCGAGCTGCTGCTGCCAATACGAGTCTGTGTGTGTGTGTGTGTGTGTTGTGAGGAAGTGGTTGTGAAATGTGGTGTGTGTGTGTGTAGGTGTTTAGGAGATTGTTCTGGCAAATCTAAAGAGAAGTGAGTCACGATGTTACATAAACAGATTTGACACAGATAGCATCAAACACAAACACTCAGCCTACTACTGTACATCACATTTCATAATATCATTCATGTTCCTTCTTGCTGCATTCAGACTGCAGGCACAAACTAAAACACATATATATAATAATTCTTATTTCTTGTTCTTTTTGTCTGAATTAAAGGAACAGTCCAACATTTAGCCTATATTGTGTGCACTCAGATTAAACTAATGTAATCGTTTATTGACTGTTAGAAGGCAAGGTTTCCCAACATTACCCCAAATAATGTCTTTAATTTGAATTAAGGCTGTCTAAGAGTGTCACAATTACACTTTAATGGGGATAAAATGCAGTTTTATGGTCATAACAAGGTGTTTTTGCCATTGTTCTGTTTGCATTTAGTGAAAAATGAATCATCTTTGTTGTCCACATTGCCCACACCATCTGCGTGGATCTGCTGAATTTAACATTTTCAACTCTTGTTCTTTTCATTTCATGAAATCAGACATATGGATATAAATATTTGTGCCAAACAATGTGTGAATTTTAAAGGAACAGTCCAACATTTCAGGAATTAGCAAGGCCTGGTGTATTTTACATCTCTTTTATATAAGTTTAGCCTATATATTATATGTGTGTGCTCACATTACACTGATATAATGTTCTTATTATTATTGACTATAAGAAGGCAAGGTTTCCCAACATTACCCTAAATAATGTCTTTAATTTTTAATTAAGGCACAATTTTTCTTTGAGGGAGAAAAACATCCTGTTTTATCTTCATAATAAGATATTTGTACCATTTTTCTGTTTGTATTCATTGAAAAATGCATCATCTTTGTTGTCCACGGTGCCCACACCATCCTATCAGACATATTAATACATTTATTTGTACCAATGACTCAAGGTTTTCTCTTAATAACCCCGAATAATGTCTTTAATTTTAATTAAGGCCGTCTGAGAGTGTCACAATTTAACGTTGAGTTTTAAAACCATGCAGTTTAAAGCTCATAACAAGGTGTTTTTGCCATTGTTCTGTTTGTATCCAGTAAAAAATGAATCATCTTTGTTGTCCACATTCTCCGCACCATCTGCGTGTTGTTGACAGCACACTTTGACGGACGTTTTTGCTCAGCCAATGAGCGCCGCTGCACACGCCGCCGTTGAGCCCTCGTCCAATGGCTGAGCGCGGGGGGCGGGTGTTGTGGCGGGAGGGCGGGACAGGGGGCGGGTGTTGTGGCGGGAGGGCGGGAGCAGAGCGGGGTCGGAGCTGTGGCTGTCAGCGCACAGCGGCACATTCAGAGTCTGTGAGCGGCGCTGAGGAGCCGCAGCTGTGATTATGAGTCAATATAATGGAGGAAAATGGACCGAACCGGGTCTGAGGTTGGCGAGCGCTTCTACACAGACTTGGACTGGACGTAAAAATGGCACAAACGCGTTTTAATCCGGCGGATGTCGGAGTTGTGTGGCGGTAAACGCGGCGGTGTTACGGGAATCTTTGTCATCCGGACTAAAGAAAGACAACAGCGGCCTCACGTTACACAGACACGGTCGGACTGGAGCCACGGTTAGCACTGCTGTTAAACACTTTATTCCTGTCGGCCCAGCGGGAGTGAACCGGGCTGTGTAGTGAGGGACAACCGGAGACAGTCTTTAAATAAACTGCTTTATTCAGCACCAGTGATTGGAGCTAAGCTAACAGGCTAGCTCTGTGTGGACTAGCTCGTTGTTCTTCTGCTAACTGCTCTTAACTGGGAACAAACACACTTAAACGCTACTGGTTTTATACTTTTATTCGTTAATTACTACGTTATATCTCAGCAGCTCATACATTTTTGCAGATTAGCCACTTAGCTTATTATATTTACCATTTTTTAAGACAATAAGCATGTTTTGCTTTTAGCAGCAGGTCCTGCAGGAGTCTGTCCACTTCCAGCTGCACTCACTCTTTAAATGTCTTTAATATGTGATAATCTGTCACTGAGATAAGGGTTTTATTTCTGGCTCAAGGAGTAACCTCTCAGATTGTGGTTCCACCTCTTTCTAACCTGTGTGAACATTAAGTTTCTGACTCCACTCGGCACCAAATACTTCTTATCTTCACCTTTTTTTAACGATAAGGATGTTTTGCTTTTCAGAACCACATTTCTGGCACCCAGCTTGTTTTCGGAGTGGGACATTCCTGTGAGGCTGTATCGCCGGCTCGGTTTTATCTGAGCGTTTCTGAGACTGTTAAAGTCACCAGGCACAACAAGGAAGGGACTTCATGCTGGTGGACCCTGATGGGATAACAAACATCTCCTTTGTTTCGGTGTAAGGAGCAGAACAACAGACAGGGGGGTCGCTCGGTCACCCGTCCTTTGGTAGACTCGTCTTCAGCCTGCTGGGCTCAGATGTGAGAGACGATGGGCAGCCAGGGCAGCCCAGTGAAAAGCTACGACTACCTGCTGAAGTTCCTGCTGGTGGGAGACAGCGACGTGGGCAAAGGAGAGATCCTGGACAGCCTGCAGGACGGATCAGCAGAGTCCCCGTACGCTTACAGCAGCGGTGAGTCATCCGGGCCCGGCGGATTGGGTCCTGCTGGGTCACTACGTCCCCATGAGCGTCTTCATCACACACACACACACACACAAACGTCCTGAACATACGAGCTGCTGCGTTTGCTGCGTGGACCGTGGAGGACACACAATGAGCCACATTCAGTTGTGACTGTGCGTTGTTGTTGTTGTTGTGGCTCAACAATAGTTTTCATGAGCTCATAGTTATAATACGGAGACAATAGCTTCTAGAGTTTACAGTGAACACATTTCACTTCCAGTCCACATCCTCTCTCTGCAGCTTCCTCCTTCAGATAACCTGAATGTGCACAGATACTTTGGTGCTTTGGAAACAGTTTGAGCGGCTCTGTAAGAAACCGTCTGCAGGTTTGATCTTGAATCAGATTAGAAGTCGTCCGTATCGTCAGCTGCGTTCAGGATCACCGGCTCGTTCAGCTCCGTCCTCCCTCCCAGGATGTCTCAGCCCATTTAATACAAACAGTACTGCTCCAGTGTTTCCAACTTCTCTGTACCTTTCACAATAAGAGCCTTTATGTGTGGCACAGCGTCGTCATCATAAGTAAAACTGCTGCTGAGGCTTTTCCCTTATTTCTCCAAACCAGTGGCAGCTTTAACTGCGTTTCCCCGAAGGAAAGGACGCAGTTCTAACTGTCACATATGGAAAACACTTTATCCCAATAAACATGCTGCTGTTGGTGATGGTGATGTAGAGAGCTGCTCAGTGTGATGGATCACCTCGACGCAGGCAGCGCTCGAACGTCTGCACTTTATATTTAATGGTGTGAGAATGAGATGAAAGCAGCAGAAAACACAATTTAAAGTACAAAAATGCTTCGGAGAGTTTGTAAATTGGCTTAAAAATACAAAAAAAAAAACCTCCACTGATCTAAAAATACGATCTGCAAACAGTCGTCGCCCAGAGACGCTGTCGGAGATGATTCCTCTCCTCGGGATGAAAGCAACTGCTCATGAAAAATACATCAGCAGAACGACCGTCTTCTCCTCCCGTTATCTGCTGAGCTGTGCCACAGGGTTGATGCTGCCGTGTGACCGTCCCGGGTCTCCTGTGTGTTCAGACGCTCTCACTGCAGCAGGTGACGGGGATTTACAGACCGACGTTATCGTCACAAATAAACAGGAGAGGAGCCGAGTCTCTGCGTCGTGGATGGAGGCTCTGACTGAAAGCTGCATGTTTTATACACTTAAATCATTTAGAGGAGAAACTTTATCCATAATTAATTAATGGTTCAAATCATTTCTCAAACATAAATTCTCTTCAGGTGAGGATTTACTGCTTTTAAAACACTATTAACTGGATAACTTTGGGTAAAAAAATGAGTTGTAACTATTTTCTAATCAATTATTAATCATTAAAGAAAATGTTATTCGCAGCCCTCGCTGGGCTCGACCGCTCGGGTTGGCTGCTCGCCCGGGGGCCAGTAAACTCCACACAGGGCTGGTGAATGCACCAAAGATGAATAATGAAAGAGCTGAAGCTGTGTGGAGAGTTGCACACGCTCAGAAACGTAGAAACAGGTTCAGGTTTGGTTTAGTTTCACATGGAAAGCCAGAGGATCTTTGTTGTGACTCGATTGATAACCGATAATCAGTAGGACGGTTTGTTACGGGGCAGTAAACACAGAGTTTGGCCCGGTTGGTTTGTGAACAGTAACAGTGAACCGGTTGCATGAGAGCAGATTTTAATTGGGTGGCTGTCCTCGGGCTACGGTCGGTCTGATTCACGGAGCCGATCAGTGACTGTGTGCGTTATTGATCAGGTGTTTGGTGAGTGGACTTCAGATGAGGCGTCTGTGCTGGTTTCTGTGGTTTAGCAGTGTCGTATGTAGTTCAGCTTTTTGCTGACGCTGAAACAATTAGTTGATTTATTGATTTGTTGACGGGCAGAAACCTGAAGTAGAAGTATATTGGGAACTGATTGATCACTTTCAAACACAGTCTGCTTCCAGCTTCTCATGTATGAAATGATTAGTTAGTGAATTATTCAGTAATTCTGAAAGTAAAACGCCATTATGACTGTATCTCTGAGTCCTTGGTGTTCTGGGAGATTGGGACAGATATTCTTATACACTGAATCAGTTAACAGGACAGTGTGTTGGTGAGTATACACAGTAATCATAAAGCACAACACTGCGATCTGACGGTCGGAGTTTAAACACACAGGTTTCCTTACAGCCCTCTCTGTTAATCTCAGTATTTAAATGTTGTTCAGTCCTTACAGCTGTTCAGCATGTACACAAATATTCTGTTCAATCACATTAAAGACCTGAGGAACCTCAAAGTTACCACGAAGCATCTCTGCACGTTTATTTCCAGTGTGGCTCACAATAACATCATAACAACAACAACAACAACAACAACAACAACAATGATAATAATGATAATGATAATGATAATGATAATAATAATAATGATAATGATAATAATAATAATAATAATAATGATAATAATGATAATAATAATAATAATAATAATAACAATGATAATAATGATAA